TAAGTTCCAATAAAGAATCCCACTTCAGAAAAAAAATATTATGTAATTTGAGTTACAAACTACAATGTAATCCACAGATTTGAAAGCCATTCAAAAAGTTGAAGAATAATTACAAAATGAGACTAAAAGTAAAAGGCATTAAATCTTAAGTGAAAATTAATATTAATTGTGAGAAGATAAAACAAAAAAAACCCCCGTTATTATTGATTTAATTTATCTTCATCTTTGTACTGGGTTGACTAGTGTGTCCCCTCCAAAATTTGTATCTACCTGTACCTTATGAATATGATGTTATTTGGAAATAGGGTCTTTTCAAACATAAACTCATATGAGGTCATAGTGGATATGGGTGGGCCCTAATCCAGTGACTGGTATCCTTTTAAGAAAACAGAAATTTGGATACAGACTCACATAGATGGAAGATGGCCATGTGAAGAAGGAGACGGCAGTTGGAGTTATTCTATTGTAAACCAAGAAAGGATAGCCCTGCTGACACCTTGACTTTGAACTTCTGTCTTCCAGAAATACGGGACAATAGATTTCTGTTGTTTTAAACTATCTTAAGTTTGCACTAATTTGTTACAGCAGCCCTAGGAAATTAATACAGTGTTTTGTGCAAACACATAATGAAACATTTGCAAAGCTTTGCAACTGCCCGTTTTCTTCTGGAGACTGGAACTGCATGGCATTTTTGTCAAATCCACATAGAATGTAATCTCCAGGGAAAGGAACATTTTCTTGTGGGTCTTTATTTTCTCTACCATCTATACCAGTGCCTGACACATGGTAGGCCCTCAAAAAATACTTGTTGAATGAATAAATGTGTGCATAAATGAATGAATATGCAACATTGACCTTGTAGATTTTTTAGATTCCATATTTTAATTTCCTGAAGCAGAAAAAATAAGATCGTCTTTCAAAAGTATTGCTATTTAATATTAATTTTTTATATTTAACAGCCCTATATAATAAATGATGATAATTACAAATGCATCAGAAGGTGATATTAGAACATACCCTTTTTATAAAAATGAAATAGAATATTATAGGACCGAATTGTATGTGAACTTTTACTTCATGATAAAAAAAAATGGTAAGATTCAGAGGGCATAAAACTAGTCATTTCATAGTCTCTGCTTTCTTTCCATTTAAAAGTCTGTGAATTAGCATATGCTGTCAGGAATAATGATAATCCATTATTGCTGTACGCCTGAGCGTAGGTGGCTGGGAGCTTTTTTATTTGAAAATGAAAAGCAGTCTCTAAACCTCACAAATACTTCAGGAGGAGAGAGCATGCCATGTAAACACATTAGCACAAATAATCCGCTCTGATAATTGATTAAGACTTAACTGACCTTGGGCATATTGAACTTTTTATTTCCTCACTATAAGCCTCTAGGTGAATTCAGGGTGAAATTATAATAAAAAAGAGTTGCTCCAAATTTCTCTCCTAACAAGGTGAGGTATTGTGTTATCTGAATCATTCAACTTAGGAAAGACATATTATAACATGTAAAATCATAGCACTTAACCAGAAACCACAGAGTTCTGATTTCTCATTTTATAAAGGGAGAATTGACAGCGGGAGAGGTGAAGCCACTTTCCTGGGGTCACGCAAGTAATAGTAGTAGGACAGGTGTCTCTGCCCAGTTAAGTGCTCTTTTCCAATGTACCATGTTGTAACTTTAAAATAAATCTGCTTTATCCAGGAGTAGATCATGGGTTTTCTGCCCTGGAAGCTAGAATTCTATCACTAACTCATGAATAACCCAAGTGACTGACAATTTTAATCTAAATTAAAATCATATAGATGATCTTTAGGATATTTAGGTGACTTTTAGGCATCTAAAAGTACAGACATTGAGAAATTAAGTCAAAGAGACCATCTAAGATGGTTTAGGGGAGAAGAGTTAAAGACACTAAAAACAAACAAAAATAACAGGGAGAAAGAGAACTTTGTGAGAAAAACAATAAACTGTAGTTTTAATAATATTTTTGGAATCTTATTTAAAACTGAGACTGCAATATTTTCATATATTCAACATCTAAAATATTCCTTGTGTCATCTTGCCACCTTTATTTAAATGTTTAGTACACTAGAATAAGGAGGACACATGAATTACTCAAGGAAAAGAGAGTAAGGGCAAGAAAATAAGGGCCTTTATAAAGAGCACCATGTATCATAGAAAGTGCTAGGTGTTTTAACACATGTCCCATTAAATCCTCAAAAATCTTCAAACTGCAAATTAAGCGCTTTTTTTTAAATGATGAAGAGTTTCACAACTGAGTAACAAATTTAGGATTGATATTCATCATAACAAATATTTACTGATTCTACTAAACACAAGCCATATATCAGACTTCTTACTAAGCACTTTATATATATTTTCTTACTTGATTTTCATATCAACCTCATAAAATAGAGATACTCATTATCCCAATTTTATAGATAACATAATTGAGTCATGAGGATATAAGTAGGTAATGGCATAGTCAAATCCAAATCCAGGATTATCTGTCTCAAACCCTCTGCTCTTAGCCATTCTGCTACTTCAAAGCATGATGTTTGTGATAAAATATGAATAATACCTCATTCTCCTAATCCAGTTAGAACCCACTATGTCCTGTGGGAACAAGGGGAGGTGGGATTAATTCATTCATGCTAGGAAGTGAAAGGAGTAATTTGAGAAGATACTTGAGAAAATGGTTTCTAAATAGGGTCCTAAAAGATAATTTCAGTAGGCAGAAAATAAGAAAAATGTATTCCAGAATGAGGGAATAGTAAGAGCAAAGGCAAATGGAATTTGGGGGGAATGACATAGTACAAGGAAATGAGACTAGAAATAGAGGTGGGCCTGGGGCAAAGAACCCTGTACATCAGGGTAATGAGTTTTGATTATATTCCATAGGCAAGGGTGAAATGATTTTTGTTTTCACATTTATGGAAAGGAAAGAAATTAAGATATATGGAAGTCTTCTATGTGCAGGCAGTGCACTTGGCACTTTACATGTGAAATCTAATTTAATACAATAATCTATAAGGGAGATAAAATTATTTCCATTTTACAGATAAGCAGATTAAGGTATGGAGAGGTAAACCAACTTGCTTAGGTTATAAACAAAGTTAAGTTTTGAACTGTGATCTTAGCTCAGATTCCACATGTTTTACACTATCCCACTTAAAGTCTAAGAAGATAATGGGGGACCCTGTGAAAGATGGATTGGAGGAAGGGGACCATGGTGTCAGGGAGACACGTTAGCAGGTTTTTAAAATCATTGTGTGCAAAAGGAGAGGGAATCTGAGTATCAATACTGGTAATAGAAATGACAAATGTGGGATGGACTCTAGGGGAGTTGCAAAGGCAAAATTTGAGACTGGGAGGGTCATGATAAAATATTGCTGTTGAATCACATACACCTGCTGTAGAACTCAGTTGAGTCACTATTGCTATAATCCTTACTCTCTAAGTCTCAGTTTCTCATTTCTAAAATTTAAAGAATAAGTGAGTTAATGGATGTAAAATGATTCACTGAGTGTTTCACACAAAGTGCTCCATAAGCATTAGCCATTAGGTATTATTAGGAAGTGAGTAAGAGAGAGAAATCCATGATGTCTTTGAGATTTCTAGTGCTAGGATCTAGTACCAGTAATTGAGAAAAAGAGCTTAGGAGGATGTACATAATATAATGCTACTTTTGCAGTCTTCATCTCGTAAGCAGGCAGTATATTCCTCTGCAGTATTTTATCCTAATGGTCTAAATATGCTAAATAAAAGCCAGAGATTACCAGAATGGATTAAAAACATGACAACTACATACTGTCTACGAGAAACTCACTCCAAATATAATGCTATAGGCAGGCTGAAAGTTGAAAGATTGAAAAAGATATAGCATGCAAATATCAATCAAAGGAAAGCAGAACTGGCTATATTAATATCAGATAAGATAGACTTCAGAGCAAAGAATATTACAAGAGACAGGGAGGATTATTTTAGTAATGATAAGAAGATCAGTCTACCAAGAAGATACAGCAATCCTAATTGTGTATACACCAAACAACAGAGTTGCAAAATACGTAAGCAAACTGATAGAACTGAAAGTAGAGAAAGTCAAGTTCACAATTACAGCTAGAGACATTACTACCCTTCTCTTAATAATTAATAGAACAGGGGCGCATGGGTGGCTCAGTCGTTAAGCGTCTGCCTTCGGGTCCTGGGATCGAGTCCCACATCGGGCTCCCTGCTCAGCGGGAAGCCTGCTTCTCCCTCTTCCACTCCCCCTGCTTGTGTTCCTGCTCTCGCTATCTCTCTCTCTGTCAAATAAATAAATAAAATCTTTAAAAAAAAATAATTAATAGAACAGTTAAACAGAAATTCAGCAAGGATATAGGAAAATACCATCAACTAACATGATCGAATCAACATTTACAGAAAATTTTATAGAAAGAAAGACTTTTATTTATAGAAAATCATCTAACAAGAGCAGAATACAGATTATTTCCATGGAACATATACCAAGATAGATCATATCTGGGACATAAAATAAATCTCAATAAATTTAAAAGAATTAAAATTATACAAAATGTGTTCTCTAGCCACAGTGGATTCAAGATAGAAATAAATAATAGATAACAGGAAAATCTCCAAACCTCTGAAAAGTAAAGACACTTCTAAATAATCCATGAGTCAGAAAGTCTTAAGGGAAAAAAAAATACGTTGAACTGAATGAAAATGAAAATACAACATATCAAAATTTGTGAGATGCATCTAAAGCAGTGCTGAAAGGGAAATTTAAGGCACTAAGTGCACACATTAGAAAAGAGGAATAGTCTCAAGTCAATAATGTAAGCTCCTGCCTCAATAATCTAGAAAAATAAGAGCAAAATAAAATCCGAGCAAGAATAAGGGAAGAAATCCTCAGGATGAGAACCGAAATCAATGGAATTGAAAACAAAACAATAGAAAAACAGTGAAGCAAAGAACTGGTTTTTTTTTAAACAGATTAATAAAATTGGCAAACCTCTAGCAACAGTGACAAAGAAAAAAAGAAGACAGAAATTACCAATATTGGGAATGAAATGGGATATCACCACAGTCTGTGCAGAAGATAAGGGAATACTACAAAGAACTTTACACATTTAAATTTGACAACTTAGAAGAAATGGACCAATTCCTTATAAAACACGAACTATTAACAATATACCCAATATGAAATAAATAATTTGAATAGCCCTATAACTGTTAGGGTAATTGAACTCATAATTTTAAAATTCTCAAAAAGAAATCACCAGGCCCAGATGGTTTCACTGGAGAAATTTGCCAAACATTTAAAGGAGAATTAATATAAATTCTACACAATCTCTTCCTGAAAATAAAAGATGCAACACTTCTCAAATGAAGGTAGTTTTGCCTTGTTACTAAAACTAGACAGACAGTACAAACAAAAATAAAGGCAAAAAAAAAAAACACTACAGGGCTCTGGGTGGCTCAGTCGTTAAGCGTCTGCCTTCGGCTCAGGTCACGATCCCAGGTTCCTGGGATCGAATCCCACATCGGGCTCCCTGCTCGACAGGAAGCCTGCTTCTCCCTCTCCCACTCCCCCTGCTTGTGTTCATGCTCTCGCCCTCTCTCTCTCTGTCAAATAAATAAAATCTTTAAAAAACAAACAAAAACACTACAGATCTGTATTACTTATTGATATAGATGCAAATATCCTTTTTTAAAAAAATATTTATTTGACAGAGAGAGAAAGAGAGAACACAAGCAGGGAGAGCGGCAGGCAGAGGGAGAGGGAGAAGCAGACTTCCCACTGAGCTGAGCAGGGAGTCCGACATGCGGCTCAAACCCAGGACCCTGGGATCATGACCTGAGCCGAAGGCAGACACTTAACCGACTGAGCCACCCAAGCGCCCCTAGATGCAAATATCCTTAACAAACATTAGCAAAGGGAATTCAGCAGTCAATTAAAAGAATTGTATTCCATGATTAAGTGGGATTTATTCTAGAACTGCAATGCTAATTTCAATATTCAGAAATAAGCTGATGTGATCCACCATATTAATAGGCTAAAGAAGAAAAATCACATGATTATATCAATTGATATAGAAAAACGACTTGACAAAATTCAACATCCATTCATGATAAAAGTAGCAATAGAGAGTAAATGTCTCACTTTGATAAAGAGCATCTCTAAAAACCCTCCAACTAACGTTATACTTAATGGTGAGAGATTGCTTTCCCTTAAGATCAGGAACAAGGTTAGGATGTCAGTTCTTACCACTCCTTTTCAACATATTGCTGCGGGGCACCTGATTGGTTCAATAGGTTAAGCATCTGCCTTCGGCTCAGGTCATGATCTCAGGGTCCTGGGATGAAGCCCCACATCAGGCTCCCTGCTCAGCTCAGCGGGAAGCCTTACCTCCCTCTCCCTCTGCCTACAGCTCCCACTGCTTGTGTTCTCTCTCTCTCTCTGTCAAATAAATAAACAAAATCTTAAAAAAAAAAATATTGCTGGAACTTTTAGTCAGTGCAATAGTCAAGAAAAGGAAATCAAAAGTAGATCAGAAAGGAAGAACTAAAACTGCAGGTGACATGATTGGCCTATGTAGAAATTTTCAAAGAATACAAAAATTCCTAGAACTAACAAATGAACTAATCAAGTTTACCTGCAAGTTAAACATTGTATTTCTATATAGTAGCAATGAACATACGGACATCAAAATAAAAAAATACAGTACCATTTACAATTGCTCAGAAAAGTGAAATACTTAGGTGTTAGTGTAACAAGACCTGTGTAGGACATATAAGCTAAAATCTACATGAAGGAAACCAAAGATGTAAATAAATGGAGAGACATGTATGTGGAATAGAAGACTCAATATAGTAAAGATGTGAGTTCTTTCTAAATTGATATATAGGTTTAATGTAATTCCTATTAAAATCCCATCAAGATTTTTTTTGCAGATATAGACATGATTATTCAAAAATTTGTATGAAAAGGCAAATGAACTAGAATACTAGTAAACTTATTTTGAAAAAATGAATATAGTGGGAGTAATCAGTCTACCTAACTTCAATATAGCTATGTTAATCAAGACTATGCTGTTGGTGGAGAGAGAATGACAGACCCTAGAATAGAAGACCCACACAAATATGCCCAACTGCTTTTAGACAAATGTGCAAAAACAATTCAATAGAGGAAAGATAGCCTTTTCAACAAATGGTGTTAGAGCAATTGGACATCTATAGGCAAACAAAAAACCTAGAACTAAGTTAAATATTTTATTCAAAAGTTACCTCAAAATGGATCACAGTCTTAAATGTAAAACTGTAAAACTTTTACTAAAAACATAGGAGAAAATCTTTGAGATCTAAGGCTAAGAAAAGAGTTCTTAGACTTGATACCAAAAACATGATCCATAAAAGGAAAATTGATAAATTAGACTTCATCAAAGTTAAAAACTTCTGTGCAAGTTCAGATTCAGATTCAGTAGGTCTGTGGTGTTCTGAATTCTGCACTTAGTAAAAGCTCTTAGATGATGGTGAGGCTGCTGGTCCATGGACTACACTTTTTGAGTAGCAAAGGACATACAATCTGTAAGGCTCCTTACAATGAAGCAAGACAAAATCAGAGAGCGAGACAAACCATAAGAGATTCTTAATCATTTGAAACAAACTGAGGATTGCTGGAGGGGAGAGGGATGGGGGGTGGGGTGATGGACATTAAGGAGGGCATGTGATGTAAGGAGCACTGGGTGTTATATAAGACTGATGAATCACTGACCTCTACCTCTGAGACCAATAATATATTATATGTTAATTAATTGAATTTAAATAAAAAATTTTGAAAAATATATAAAAGGCTCCTTACAATTCTAAAACTACATGATTTCATGAGTAAATAGATTTTGTTATCATGTTAGCAATTCAAAGAATTAGAGGAGAAAATTCAATTTCAGTTAAAGGAATAACAGAAACCCCCCAAAAGCCAACTTTATAGATGAACAGAAAGAAAAACAAAATTTTATCTTTTTGAATACTTTCAAAATATTCTAATGCCTTATTCAAAGGGCACTTAAAATGATCACATTTCCTCATCAGTCTTCATTTTACATTAATCTTATAGCCATAATGTAAGGTTCTGAAATGAATATATCATTGCATTTAAATTATTTTATTTTTTATTTATGGAAATTGGTATTCTCATATTTTCAGTTTATACTTTTTGGCTTTATCTGAGCCCATGAGCACAACCATCACAGGCTACAAGAAATCGTGTGAGAATTTTGAATTTAAATGTGTTATTGCTATTGAGATTAGTGGATAGGTTTTTCTATTCACTGGTCCAACAGAAACTAAAATCTCTTATCTCTAATGATGGCATTTCAACTCAGATTTGATATGTCCAAATTTATTTCCATGTTTCCAATTCTTCCTGTTTAAAGAATAAACTGTAGCTTGAAAGGAAGCACACGTTGATTCTATTTAGAAAAGAAATAAAATTTTATCAGGAATAAATGAATCTTGAGAAATAAAATAGTTATCTTACTAATATGCATTCGTTCAATTGGGTGCTGTGTCAGTTAGAAATATCCTACTAAAAATGGTTTCATGAAAAAATTTTCTTATACCTCATTGACCAGAATTAGGTCAAGAAAGAAGATACATGTTTTCATTTTAAAGACAGTTTCAAAGGATAAATAGTGTTTTTTGTGAGATTACTATACTCTAGAAAAGGTGTTAAAATCCATGTTGATGGTATTCATAAAAGTATAAAAGACAAAAATGCTTTTATCAGACAGCATAATACAGTAAAAAGATCAAACAAATAAACAAAAAACAAATCTGTGTAGACATAGATTAGTGGTATCCTGGCACAGGGAGTGGTGATAGATTGTGGGTAAATGGGCATGTGAAATTAACTGATGTGATGAAAATATTCTAAAACGATTTATGGTGATTGCACAACTTGGTAAATTTACTAGAGATCATTCAATTATATACCTGAAATGGAAGAATGATATGGTATGTAAAATATCCCTCAATAAAGGTTTTTTTTTTAAAGAGCATCTGACTGATATTCAGGACACCATGAAATACAGCAGTTGTTCTGCCACTAAATAAATAGCTGTGTGACCCTAGACAAATAGTGTACTCACTGTAGGCCTTTATTTCATTATCTGTATAAAGGGGTAGTTGGGCAGATGAACACCAAAGTATCTCTTGTCTCTTTTCATTTCAGTATTCTTCTTTTCTCTTCTTTTTTTATTTTACATTATGTTCAGTTAGTCAACATACAGTACATCATAAATTTTTGATGTAGTTTAGTTGCGTATAACACCCAGTGCTCATCCCAAGATGTGCCCTCCCTAATACCCATCAGTGGTCACCCCATCCCCCCAACCCCTCCCTTCTGTAACCCTCAGTTTGTTTCCCAGAGTCCAGAGTCTCTCATGGTTTGTCTCCCTCTCTGATTTCTTCCCATTCAGTTTTCCCTCCCTTCCCTTGTGGTCCTCTACTCTCTATATATTCTGTGACTCTATTTTGGCAAAGTTAGCCTCAAAGAAAGCACTTTCGTTCCTTGAAAAATATCTAATTAGGGATGCTCTTCTGAAAGAGATTAAGATCACAAAATTTACTTTAAAAATTTGCCAAAAGAAATTATAGATCCAAGACCCTTAAAAGACCCTCTTTTTAAATTAATCAAGCACTGTTGCTGATGGAACATTTTCTTTGCTTTCAGAATATATGAAATTCAAGCCACAGTGCACTCTGTACAATCGAAATGTCTGTTGTAGGAAGATAAAATAACAAGAAAGAAAGTGAAGCAGTTTATAAACCAATGTTTAGAAAGAAACCTGTAAGGAGGGTTTAACAATGCTTATATAGTTCTGATTTAAATCTCCAATCATGGGAGATATTTATTGAACACTAAATATAGTAAGAGACCACATAGAATTTTGCATATGTGAGTGTGTGTGTTTATATATACATAAATATATGGGTTTGTGTGTGTGTGTATTATATGTGTGTGTATAATAACTTTCAGTTTTTTTCTGATGATAAAAATAATACTTTATAGGGGTGCCTGGGTGGCTCAGTTGGTTAAGCGACTGCCTTCGGCTCAGGTCATGATCCTGGAGTCCCTGGATCGAGTCCCGCATCGGGCTCACTGCTCGGCAGGGAGCCTGCTTCTGCCTCTGACCCTCCCCCCTCTCTTGTGCTCTCTCTCT